TAACTGCACGCGTGAGCGTATGTATCACGAACCTTACTCACATACTGCATGTCATTCAATAGGGTGTTGTCAAATTTCCAGAGTCCTGGTCCCCGAGGAGGTTTGTTGGGCCAAGATAGCGAAATATAAATTGCGTTATGGTCAGGTGCGATAGCATGGTAAATTTCCGAATTCTTTACATCCCTAGAGATATTTTTTGCAATTAAGAAAAAGTCAATCCTAGATTTAACTTTAAGAGATTTTTGATTCGTACGTGAATTTGCGTAACTTTGGATGTCGCATTCTTTGAATATCCACTAAGTCAAACGTTCCCATCGTTGTCAGAATGAGATTACGGTAACTGGACGGTTTCCACGGTGCACCTCCGATCTTATTTTTTTTTTGATAAAGTACAATTCCAGTCTCCCCCGACAATTAGCGAGGTGAGCTCTGATTTATCGATTATGCAATTGTTGAGCTCTTGCATGAATTGGAGTTGATTGGCCTTGTCATTAGGTGCGTAAATATTGCACAGTGATAGTTTTTGTCCATTAAGAGTGACTGTAATAAGCACTATTCTGCCCGAGTCATTGGCATAAGAATAATCAGCTTTTGGTTGTACAAAGGAATTAATTAAAATACACACACCTTTACTATGCGTGGTGCCATGTGAGAAAAATAGCTCGCCACCCCATTCTTTTCTCCAAATATTTTCATCGGCTCGTGCTGAATATGTTTCTTGTAAAAAATAAATGTTTGCTTTTTGATCTTTTAGGTATGAAAATATACTCCTCCTCTTGATTTGATCTCTGATTCNTGTATCTCCCTGCCTGTTTGGTCAGAGTGGATCAGGTTTGGTAGTGTTGGTTCAATGCGTTTGGCTATTGCTTTTGACGCTATTTTAAGATCAACATTAAGCAATGTAATCGGTCTCCAGTTTGAAAGATCTAGGAGTGACCCGTCTTCTTTTGGAATTAAAGTAATTATTCCTCTTCGTTGTGAAATCGAGAGTTCACCTTTCTCGTGCACTTTGTTGAAACTTGCTATTAAATCGTTACCTAAAAGATCAAAAAATAGGTATAAAATGCGACGGTAAATCCGTCTTCCCCCGGTGCTTTATCATTCTGAAAGGTTTCTGGTATCCTTTTGCATTCTTTGTACGTAAGTGGACCCTCCAAGGTTCCTTGCACGTCTTCTGAAGGCTTAGGCGATTCAACATTTTCAGTGAATTTGTCATACGCAGTTTCAGAAAAGGTTAAATCCGAGGTATATAGGTTTCTATAATAATCTTTAATTTGCTCTAGAATCACTGTCTTGTTGCACGTAATAGAGTCATATGGTAATCGAGGTTCACTGATAGTTTTTTTGTTGTCAGTAATTACTTTTTTCAAGATTGAAAAAATACCTTGTTGGGTGTTCACCATTTTCTATCCAGCGGCATTTTGCTCTAAACATTGCCTGTTTTCTTTTTTCTTCGTAAATTGACTTAAGTTCCGTTTTCAGTCCGTCATACTCCCATAGTACTCCATCGATGTAAGGAGAAGAAAAATTATTGCAGATAATAACATCAAGTTGGTCTATTCTACGTCTTAATTCCTGTTCTCAGTTGCTGATACATTTTGCTTTACTTTTGGAAGAGGAAATAGTTGCAGATCTGTTTCCATTTTCATTAACTCCCAAAAGAGCCTCTTATCCATCACATAGTTATAATAACTGCACGCGTGAGCATATGTATCACGAACCTTACTCACATACTGCATGTCATTCAATGGGGTGTTGTTAAATTTCCAGAGTCCTGGACCCTGAGGAGGTTTGTTGGGCCAAGATAGCAAAATATAAATTGCCTTATGGTCAGGTGCAATAGCATGGTAAATTTCCGAATTCTTTACATCCCCAGAGAGAGTTTTTGCAATTAAGAGAAAGTCAATCCTAGATTTAAGTTTAACAGATTTTGATTTGTACATGAATTTGCATAACTTTGGATGTCACATTCTTTGAATATCCACTAAGTCAAACATTTCCATCGTCGTCAGAATGAGATTACGGTAACTAGACGGTTTCCACGGTGCACCTCGAATCTTATCTTTTTTTGATAAAGTACAATTCCAGTCTCCCCCGACAATTAGCGAGGTGAGCTCTGATTAATCGATTATGCAAGTGTTGAGCTCTTGCATGAATTGAATGAGTTGATTGACCTGGCCATTAGGTGCATAAATATTGCACAGTGATAGTTTTTGTCCATTAAGAGTGATTGTAATGAGCACTTTTCTGCCTGAGTCATTGGCATAAGAATAATCAACTTTTGGTTGTACAAAGGGATTAATTAAAATACAGACACCTTTACTATGCGTGGTGCCATGTGAGAAAAATAGCTCGCCACCTCATTCTTTTATTCAAATATTTTCATCGGCTTGTTCTGAATATATTTCTTGTAAAAAATAAATGTTTGCTTTTGATCTTTTAGGTATGAAAATATACTTCTCCTCTTGATTTGATCTCTGATTCCCCAAACGTTTAATGATAAGACGTCAAATTTGGACACACTACCCGTATTCATATTACTCGATAGAAATGAAAAAAAGGAATTAAATTATGAGAAAAAAAAATGCAAAAACTCACTAAAGTATAAACAAATCAGACAACACACACAAACAAATACACACAACAACACAAAAGGACCTAAACCTTTTTCAAGTAGGGTAAAGAGATAAGTCACAGTTCCAAACAGACAGAGTCTGTCCCCTCTCCCAAAATACTTCTAAGCAGGCTACAGATTCTTGAGGTCCTCTAATTCAATGATTTTGATGGGTCTCCCGTCTGGCGAAGTCTTCATGTAAATTGTTCCATCCATCGACCATGCACTCACTAGTTTGCCATCTCTATGTTTCTCGTTAGCTCTAGACATGATGTGGCGATGATAGAAAGTTAAGTTTTCATTGATGAAGATCCTTGTCGACTGTACTTTCGTTGCGTAGGAGGAGTTGGGGAAGAGGTCGGCCAGTTTGATGTTCTTAAGTTTTGTTCTAGCTCTGTAGAGATTTGTCTTGGCTTTGTGACTAATAAATTTTGCAATTATTGCTTTGTTGCCCCAAGTATTTAACTTATGGGAAATTTCAATGTCACTGAGGCTGACAGGAACCTCTAGTGTCTCTGCTACTTTTAGGATGGCCTCTTCTGTGGAGTTGTACGCGCTTTCTGGAATTCCATGGAATTCAAGAGAGTTTTTCCTGGTATATTGTTCTAAACAGTCTTGAAGGTTGTAAAGCTCTGCTATTTCCTCTTGTTGTTCATTTATTTGTTTCTTCGCATCGTTGAGCTCTTTCTCCCTAGCTGCAAACTGTGGATTTGGTGAGTTGTTTCTTGAGGTCCACAATCTCAGTTTGCTGTTTGTTTACAGTGGATTTTAGTTCTTTTTACGTCTTCGCTGATTTTCTTGTTTTCCAATAGAATATTATTGACGGCGATTTGTATATCTACCAACAATCTCTCTTAAGTACATTAGACTGGGTTCTTTGTGGTGGTTTTCGGTGGTTGGAGGTTCTGTTGTGAAGGTTTTGCCTTCGACAGCCACCATGTTGGTTCGCTTGGAATCTAACTGTCCTTCTTCAATGGAGCCGTGTTCACCACGTTTATGCTTTCAACCTCTTCCAGTCATATGATTGTATCGTGGGTCATTCCCTGCTTGTTAATACTAAAAAGATTGATTACTTTCACACTGAAGGGAAAAATATTGGGGATGTAGACTGCTGCATTAAAACGCATGCCTCGCGCTACGCCCACGCATGCCCTCTCCCTGATTTCTTTTGTTTTACTTCCTTCTATACTTCTGAGTCTCAAATCCAAAATCAAAATAACCCCATTCTTCAAGTATTTAGTAATATTATATGCAACGAAATGAAGGTAAATTTCACTCCTTACTTCACAATGTCAATATCATTATCTGAAACTGCTGTCACTTTCTGTTCACCTTTTCTTGCAAACTTTACAACCTACAAATTCAAGAAGAGTCTCAATATACCGACAATAAATGACATGTACCTTGACGTTTTAAGTCATTCACTTAAATTTCAATATTTTCAAATATTGGGCAAAGTCAAGACCAGCAAATAACACAGTGAACTCATACCTTCTCTCCTTCAGGTGCGATGAATAGCACTGCTTTACTGTGCCTCTGTAAATAGGCCATTACAATTTCAAGAGTTTCCTCGTCAAACTTCGTGCAGCGTGTCTTAAGCACATTCCATGGTATGATGTGGTCAGTTGTATCACATTCGACACAGCTGTAATGTTTGTCAAGGACCCAGGCAGCATTTTCCTAAAGAAAGTCAAGAATGTTCAGAGACTTCAGTATATTATAAATATATTATGTGGTTTAACCATTGACTCCCATGCCACCCATAACATCATCCGTATCATCTATACTCATCTACACTCAAGTTCTGCAGGAGGAAAAGATCTTTCCAATGATACCCAGATCCGAGTGGTTGGCTCAATGAAGCCTGAAATATGCACGAAAATGTGTGAAAAACTCGCAGCAAAATTTCTTGCGAGTTACTCCATGGTAAAAATTGCCCGTCTTGATGATGCTTTTTCAGAAGTTTTTGAATGAAAGCAAGTCCAGTAGAAGGCCAATCACTGCAGCAAAAAGATAAGAAAAGAAGAAAAAAGAAAGGTGAAAAAAAAAATAAATAAAAAAGGAAAAGCCTAAGGACGTAGATCACTTTCTTGTCCAAAAAATATCTCAAAATTTTGATTTCTACGCATGCCTGAGCAAAAATGGGGTAAAACATCATCTCTTGGACTCTCCTACTTAGACATCATGAAACTATAAAAAATTATCATACTCACATAAAATCAAACTTTAACTGCGAAAATTTCAAAATGCTGCAGACATTATTAAACTTTATACGCCCACTACCCACAGTGTCCTTTTGGAATAGGTGGTGCACTGGATCAAGAGTATTAGTTTGACTCCTAGTCAGAGTTGCTGCAAAGCATTGTTGAGAAAGATTCCCTACTGGTCTCCTCCACAGCTGCAATTGTCAACTCCAAAGCATCATCACATCCTGCATATCCAGTTTTTTTTTT